AAAATTATTTTTTTATTTTTTTTTTTTAAATGGCTGCCGTAAAAATAAATCTGCCAAGACCCTCTCGGAAAACGCCATCAATTTGCGGGCGTTCTCACTTATCGTACGGTGATCTGAATTTAAAAAAATTAGTTTGTACGTGTTTATAAAACATATATCTTCTAGTTAAACCAAAAAAAAATTAAAAAAGTCACAAAATCGTAAATTGGCACACCTTAGAAAAAAAAAGTTCGATTTTTCACCTTTTTTTCAATGGTTTTTTTGGTAAAAGGGTTAATTTTTAACTTCCCGTAGGGTAAGTTATTGTAATGGGCCGAAAATCGGAATTGAAAATTTTTACATTTCTCGACGTTTTGAAGGTTTCAGAACGTTTTGGCATACTTCAGAAAAAATGGATGTGTGTGTGTGTGTGTGTGTGTGTGTGTGTGTGTGTGTATGTATGTATGTATGGATACAAATTTTCGCCCACGTTTTCGGGCGTACGGATCAACCGATTTGAATGGTTTAAAAAACATTCGATTCCTATTAATAAGGAGAAGAGCTAATTAGTTTTTGGCAAAGACAGGTCCAGCAGTTACGGAGATAAGGAGCAAAGAGTGCAGAAAATAGAAATCGAGTTTTTGAGAGAACGGAGCATCCGATTTGAATGATCTAAAAAACATTCAATTAGTAATGATTGGGAGAAGGGGTTATTAGTTTTTCGCAAAGGCAGGCCCAGCCATTTCGGAGATACAGAGCCAAATGTACAAAAAATAGCAGTTTTTGATAGAACTAAGCGTCCGATTCAATTGATTCAAAGAACTTTCTGCTTGTCTTAACAAAATAATTGATTTTGGAAAAAAAAAATTGTACCATTTTTTTTTTTTTTTTTTTAATTTTTTGTATATCGAAAATAATTCAGATTTTATTTTTAATTCTGACTATAGTTCTAATATACTTTAAACAAATAATTTCAACTCTGCAATTCAGTTTATATAATTCTTATAAATATTAGACAATGTTACAATATTTATAATGATCTATTTGAAAACATTCAATATTCCTCGAACATTTCGTTACGGTACGGGAAGTTCCAGCAATTTGCCTTAAGGCACGATGCCACCCACCCCACTAGTTGAAAATTTTTTTGGAATGTTTGAGGTTTAACTAGAAGCTATTACTGTAAAGTAGATGTGTGCAAAATTTCATTGGAATCGGTTGAGAACTTTTTGAGTTATCACGCCCGCAAATTTCAAAAATGTCGTTTTGAGAAAAACGCGTTTAAAGTTTTGACACAGAAACAGATAAGAGTACAATAGCACTCAAGCGTCGAGTTGAGGCATGGCACTTAAATGAGTTTTTATTGTATAAATAATGATAATTTTGTTTTGAATATTTACAGGCATATTTTTGAGATGTTATTGTAACGATTTATGAAAGAAAAAAAAATCGATTTTTTTTTTCTTGTTACATGTATCGCCCCCCTTAAAGAGTGGTTTCATTAAACGCCATAGCAATTAGGGGTTGCATTTAGTTTAATGATTTTGATTTATAATGATATTTAGATTTAGATTGATAGACTTCTGCAAGGTTACAGAAATTTAAGAGGGTATTCTAGTGTAGAAATTCAATAAAATCGATTTTTTTTTTCATATTTTCAAAGTTTAAAATCTAAGAATATGGGTACGAGAAGATTTTTGAAAATTTGAAATATTTTCGGAGATATAGGCATTTTACTGACTCGGTCTCCATACTAGTTTGGCTTCACGCAAAACTTTAAATGCGTTTTTTTCATAACAGACTTTTCAGTACTGTTGACACGATTTCTCGAGTTTTAATCGACCGATTCACTTGGAATGTACAGAGCGTCTTGTTTATAGACCTATCTATAGCCCGAACTAGGATTACCGAAATTCCAATTTTTACTATTTTTAAAAAATTCGAGAAACTCAAAAAAACAGTAAACAAACACGTTTTTTTCAAACAGTCGCCAATTTGTATAAAGATTAATAATCTTTTCTGAGGTGCCAATTTTTTGAGACCACCGACTTCATCAGCTGCCAGGTTTTACAATTTAAACTTTTTTATTTTTTAATTTTTGTTTTGTATTTTAATAATATTAATAAATAAGTGGTAATAAAATAGATAGTAAAAACATTTATTGCTTTCTTTTACGACACTTTAAAAATCTGCTCTACACTAGAATACCTCATTAAGAGAGAAAATGTTCAAAAAAAGGCATTTGAGTATATTATGTATAGTTTCTCAAGATCTTGGGCATTAAAATTTGATTCTCTTGTTTATTTTTGTGTCCAAATTGAAAATAATAACTAATGGTGTATGGCATCAAGCCTTAAGGCAAATTGCTGGAACTTGTCGTACAAAAAATTTAATTTTTAAATTTTAAAAAGTAAAAATATGAGATTTTTGAAAATAATAAACTTTTTTGAAAAAAAATGTATTTTTTTAATATTTCACATATTTTGTCAATTTTGAACTTTTTAAACTTGTTAAAATTTATCGTATTACAAAAAACTTTTTTCCAATATGTAATAAAATTAAAACTTTGCAATTATCTCTATATTGGAATTTTGTATAACCATTTGTAAAAAACTGTAAATGTAGTTTTGTAAAAAACTTTATCATTGAACTTCCACCCATAGCAGTGTAATTACAAATTTTCCGGGCTGCTTTAAACGCTCTTTGACATATATAATTTAATCAATTGACAAAACTTTACTTTTTCGATGCAGTAGCTTGGAAACTCGTCACTAATGCCTTCAATAAAGTTTTCTATAGTCGACAAAATGATGAAGTGGTGAAAGTTAAGCAGTTTGACACAAAAAATAAATAAATTTTGTTTACATAAATTTATGTGTATACGAGACAAATTTTGTCATTAATAGACATTTTTAAAAAAAATCTGCACTGAATTTAGAAGCCACATGATAAAACTGAATAAGGATTTGCGTTGACTAGTTATTTGTTTCGATCGACCGAATCGTTTGCTTTGCAATTAATAGCTAAGTGAAAAGTTATAGTAATCGCAAAAAATCATTTTTATTCTAAATCTTTACGTTTCGAAACCCTCTGAAAATTTTGGCATACCTTAGATAAATGGATTTATGTATGTGTGTGTATATACTACAGTAGCACGGATCAACCAATTTGAATGATTCAAAAAAACATTCGATTCCTATTAATGAGGAGATGTGCTGATTGGTTTTTGGCAGAAGCAAGTCCAGCCGTTTCGAAGACTTGGAGTAAAAGTGCCAAAAACGATAATCCAATTTTTAGAAAACGGAGCGTCCAATTCGAATGATTCAAAAAACATTTTACTTGTATTGACGCAATTCAAATTCGATTTTTTGGAAAGGCACATCCTGCGGATTCCAAGATACAATGAAAAAAGTTAAAAAAAATGCCATTTGGTGGCCAAAAGTTATCATTAGGCATATGCACATCAAATCCAGAAAATTCTAAAGATTTTTAATAATAAGCATAAATTTTGTTCACATTTCTAAGGATTCGATACCAAGATTTATAATGTTTAACCGTTAGACTGAGATACAGCGCTTACGCGCTTCAATGTCAAAATACTCAAAAAATTTAGTTTTAACAAAATTTTATAGTACGGAAAGTTCTAGCAATTTGCCTTCAAGCACCATGTCTTGCACCACTAGTTTGTCCTAGTTTTAGGTAGACATTCTAAATCGACAGAAACTGATTGAAATATCAGTTGGCCAAATAATTTTTGGTAAAAACCAACCAAGTAATTTCCTCGTAATTAGTTGTTGAAAAGGGCCTAGCTGTTTTCAACTAATATTCACGATCACGTTACCACAAAAAGTTATAAACAGAGTTTGTAAATTTAAAAACATGTTCCAAAGACATGAGTTAGAAATGCTGCTGGTTAGGTTCTATGGATCAGCAGGGTCTTTGTAACTTTTTATGATGCTGAAGATTGTAAGACTTAACGAATATCTCTAAATGTCATTGGCCAGCAGAAAATATATTTACAAAATTCATTATATTTTTCGAACTTTACAATGGTAAGTGTTACAATGCGGAAAATTTCATCAAACCTTAAATTTTTTTGATCTTGTCGTTTATTCACACATATGGATAAGTTTTTGCAACTTGCTTCAAATACACAAAATACTACCTTAACACCTGTTCAATGGGCCGAAAATCAAAAATGTAAATTTTTGCACATCTTCACGTTTCAGATGTTTCTGAACATTTTGGCTTACCACAGAAAAAAAATATGTATGTGTGTGTGTGTTTTGTCCGCATTTTTTTGTCCACGTTTTTGTCCACCGATTTGAATGGTTCAAAAAACATTCAATTTCTATTGACAAGGAGATGTGCTGATTGGTTTTTGGTAAAGACAGGTCCAGCCGTTACGGAAATACAGAACAAAGAGTGCAGAAACATGTAATTTGTAATGATTGGTAAAAGTGATGATTAATTTTAGGCAAAGGCAGGTTCAGCCATTTTGAAGATACAAGGCTAAATGTACAAAAAATTGCAGTGTTTGAGAGAACTAAGCATCGAATTTTATTGATTCAAAAAACTTTCTTATTGTGTTGACAATTTTTAATTTTTTTTTTATTATTTTTTTTTTTTTGAATATCGAAAGAAAATCAGATATTATTTTTAATTCTGGCTAAAGTTTTATAGCTCACTTATACTTTAAATACATAATTTTAACCTTGTAATTCAGTTTATATAATTCTTATAAATATTAGAAAATGTTACAGAATTAATAATAATCTATTTGAAAACATTTAATATTCCTCGAAAATTTCGTTACGGTTCGGGGAGTTCCAGCAATTTGCCTTAGATGCCATACACCACTAGTATAAATTTGGAGTATTTGGTGTATTAATCACAGAAAAAAAATTGTGGTTGATGATAAGAATGCGTAAACTTAGTTTTTTTTTCAATATTGAAAAATATCAAATTGCAAATATGAAATTTCTAAATTCTGATTTAATCCTTGATTTTTTTCTCCACAGACGCGGAGAACGAAGAATGCATTTCGACGGAACATCGTTCATTGTTCGAAACGCTGGACATTCGGCAGGCTTCGATGAGAAGAATATGCTAAAAGTCTATTAAATGACACTCCGATAAAAACAGATTTTTCCATTTATTTTGATACTTTTTGTCTTTTTTATTGCAAATAACTATAAAATGATATACACGTCTCATTACACGGACACACGACATCGAACACAAGTCAGCCAGTTGGTGACTCAATAATCTTCAATGAGAATACTCAAGAACAAATGAAGATTTACACAAAGAATACACACATCACATAAATTTTAGTTAAGTTTTTATAAATGATAAATTTTAAGATTTTTAAACTCATGGCTATAAGTGATAAATGTGATTATAAAAATTTTGACTGAATATTGTAGAAGTATTTGTGAATATTCACGTGTAAGCAAATGCAACAATGTTCGATATTTTTAGATTAGCGGATTTAAATAAATTGTAAATGGGGTTCACAAGAATCTAAAAAACGTCTACGTAGAGACGATTGTAGATTTTAATATCTACAAACTCTACAAATACATTTTAATGTCTCACAATAGATGCAATAAATATAATGTAGTAACTATTGTTATATATGTAGGATCAATAGATTGAAAAAAGATATATAATTTTTTTATAAAATTGTTTTATTTGTTACGCATTTATCAGTAATCACAAAATCATTAGATTTCTTTTATAACGTTTCTTATATTTTACTCTACAGAAATTATGTTCGGATGAACAATTTTATAATATTGTAATTTGCCATTAAGCTATGGAATTTTATAATCTCCCAATCTGCGGAAAATTGTTTCCTTGTAATCTCCAGATATTAAATGCAATATTGTTGGATTACGTCAGCGTAACTTTGAAGGGCATTATAACTTATATTTAATATATTTTTTTTTACAATTTTATATATTCTGGGAAGAAAAATGTTTTCATTTGCCTTTTAAATAGAATAATATAAAAATAATATGCTAAGTTTAAAAAGTCGTCTTAGTAGCAATAATGGTTTAATACAAATATCTTCCAAAAGTTAGTTTGAATTTTTGAAGAGCAATATGTTTTGTCATGGTAATTTAAAATGAAATAAAATTAAACACTTTACAGATTTAGACAATATGAAAACATAAATTTTCATTGAACATTATTTTTTGCTGAAAATAAACTTAAAACTAGTTGGTATTAGTATTTTGCCTTGAGGCAAGTTACATGAACTTTCCGATATGTGCAAATAATCGACTTAATCAATAGAGAATAAATTAATTTATGAGTTATTGAAAGTATTCCGAGTGGATTTATTACACATAATTGAAATCAAACGAACACGTTAACTCGGAGTATTTTCTAAAAGCAAATTTTTAAAAATCAACAATTTTTCTTTTCAGTTTCCGTAGTCAAAATCGGTTCAGGCGTTCTTGAGCAAACGTCGATGAAAAGTCTAATTTTGAGAAATGCCAAAAAACTATACTAATTTTTGCAAACTTTGACGAATTTTTAAAGTTAAACGAGTTGTCGTAGAGCCGTAATATTTCAGTGTGATCTATAAGACTATGGTATCTACCAAAAAAATAATAATAAAAATCGTCGATTTTTTTCAACACGCTATTACAAGAAAACGGCCCGGCCAATTTTTACCAAAAACTAATCATTATCTTTCCCAACCAATATCTTTCGAACAGTTTTTGAATTTTCAAAATCGATTCAGAATTGCGGGCTAAAACATGTACGATTTTTTTTCACTTTTCTGCGATTTACAAAGAATCGGTTCGGCCGATCGTAGCGCAAAACTGACAAACAATAGTCCTCATCGAGATACATCGAATGGCTTGTAAATTTTTGAAATCGGCCAGCCGTTTTCGAGAAAACGTCGATTTACGGCAAAAAATCTGTTCACATACACACACATATACTTTTTCCAAATTTGGTCTCATCCGATTCAGAATGGCTTAAAACGTCAAAAAAACAAAATTAGCGAATCAAATTTCTTAATGAAAACATAAACTTCTCCTTCGGGAAGTTAATAATAAAAATAAAAATAATCAAAAAATTATACGTGATAAAATGTAATTAATCGGGCAGATCTGGCAACTTTCGTAAATACAATTCTAACACACTATGTTGAATTATAATAAAATAAACTACCAGTTAAAAGAAAACCAGAAATTATAACTAATTAATTTATTCAATGAATTGACTAGAAAATCTGATAAAAATAATTATTTTTGAAATGCTAAAATAATTATTTTAAAAATCAGTAAAATTTCACATTTATGAAATATGGTTGAAAGTCTGTCCATGACAGACATGGTGTGTGGGATAAATTTATAAGTTTTACTTATGTCATTAAATGAAATTACTTGTACTAATATATTTCTGCTATTATTACCTTCAGAAACCAGAAGCTAATTACTTTAAAACGAGTACACGGCCACAAAGCACGCGCCCAGCAGAAGTATTTTTTACGTTGGCGGCTTTTGCCAGAACAATTTATCTATGCCAAAAATGGGTTACTTTACTTCGATGCATTTGCTAAAATACCTGTATGAGGAAAGAGATCGTGTGCACTAGAACTATTTTCTACGAAATAGCTTTTAAACACGCGTTTGGTGTTCATCAAAACACACTACATGTAATCTAAAAGGCACCTGTTTATTTTTAGTTTTCGAAGTTTGCATTATTTACCACATTATATAAAGCAAAATTGAAGGTTAACATCATACGCGGATTTTATGGTAAAGTTACGCCTCTATGAAACTTTGTGGAATAATGCTTTTAACGCTTTCCACTGTGAAGTTTACTTTAGTATTTGATTGTAGCAGATAGTAGATCATTTCACATATATAAAACACCATTTCATTTTTAACTTGCAGCAGGGTAAGTTATAGTAATCGCAAAAAGCGAAAATAAAAATGTTTATATATCTTCACGTTTCAAAAGTTTTTGAACATTTTGGCTTACCTTGAAAAAATTGATGTATGTGTGTGTGTGAATGTGTGTATTTGCGGATGCAAATTTTCGTCGACGATTTCGAGAACACCGATCAACCGATTTGAATAATTCAAAAACATTCGATTCGTATTGATAAGGAGTCGTGCTGATTAGTCTTTGGCAAAGGCAGGTCTAGCCGTTCCGAAGACACGAGGCAAAAAGTTCCAAAAACGGTAACTCAGTTTTTTCAGAAAACGGAGTGTCCGATTTTAATAATTCAAAAAACATTTTACTTGTATTGACAAGATGAAGAACTGATTAAATTTTTGGCAGGTCTAACGGCTATGGATTCTCTAATGTTTATTAGACGTATGTACATCAAATTATCAGATATTTTGTAGAGATTTTAATAATGTGTACACATTTTGTGTAATTTTTTTTGGGATTCTGTACCAAGATTTTTTATTACGATACGGGAAGTTCCGAAGGTGGTGATTTTCTCTTCAATCAGTGTCGATATAGTTTTCGATTATTAAGGAGTTTGCTAGTGAATTTGAATGACGATAGGCTTGTTTATATATTTATGCACTGTTTTTAATAGAAGTAAGAATAACCTATCTTCTATTTAATCGACATTAACAACTGATCGTAAATCTTAGAAAAATAATATCAAAAACATGTCATATAGATAGGCCAACCCTTGGGATAAGCCTAGTAATTAAGTTAACAGTAGCGCTAACAGTTTTTACTCCATAATATAAATCTAAAATATGATTTGGAATAAAAAAAGCCCACCATTAGATGATAAAAATTTACTAATAAATTATGAAAAGATATAAAAAGAGTTTATGGAACATGTTTTGTGAAACCGCTTATTAGACTTATTAAAATATATTTAGATAAAATAAAAAATAAACACTTACTCACATTGTTAAACAAAATAGAAAACAGATAAAATTGTGTGTTAAAACGAAGAATGAAGATAATTCTATGATGAAGGTGTAATACCTTGGCATTATGTGGCCGTTGGTAGATAATATTAATAGAACATTCTTAAAGTTAACTTTACTAAATAAAATCTGTACTGTTTAATTTTTCTATGCTTGCATCATCTTGAGTCAAAAAAGCAATTTCTTTTTCAGCAAGTATGAATTTTTAAATAACACATGTTTGATTAAAAAAATAAATACATTACAAGATATATTTTGCTTCAAAGCAAATAAATTTGAATAATTTGTCTTATTTTAAAATTTACATATAGTTTGGATGCGATAAACTTTAATTTTTTTTGCAACAATCATATAGATAATATTGTATTCAAAAATTAAATATTACTTTTATAAAATTAAAAAACAACTAGTGGGGTGCATGGCATCGTGCCTTAAGGCTAATTGCTGGAACTTCCCGTACCGTAATTAAAATCTTGAAACGGAATCCAAAAAAAAATACACAAAATATACATATACACATTATAAAAATATCCGATAATTTGATGTGCATATGTCTAATGATCATTTTTGACTGCCAAAGGGCGTTTTTTTTTAACTTTTTTTATTGAGAGTCCATAACCGCTAAACCTGCCTTTCCAAAAATTCAGTCAATTTTTTATCTTGTCAATACAAGTTAAATGTTTTACCGTTCTCTTAAAAACTGAGTTTCCGTTTTTGGCACTTTTTCTCCCGCATCTTCGGAACACCTAGACCTTCCTTCGCCAAAAATTAATCTACGTCTACTTATCAATACTAATCAAATGTTTTTTGAATTATTCTAATCCGTGTTCCCGAAATCGTCGACGAAAATTTGTATGCGCACACACACACACACATACATCCATTTTTACTAAGGTATGCCGAAATGTTCAGAAACGTAACATACGAGAAGTTAAAAAAACAAATTCTCAATAATGTAAATTATAGTGATAAATATTGAAGCAAAATTCATCACACTGAATGTCGTCACTGAAGGCGACGTTTGTACATACAGGTCATCAAGCAGATGTCGTCTAAAGACGACGCTCGTGGCAAAGTTAAAATTAACTAAATATTATCTGCATTGTTAATTGAAATCAAGTGGTACATAAATCATAATATATTTCAAAATGAGAAAATAATAAATTATCAAAATATACACATCTACAGTAACAA